ATCATTCACGTTTTTTCCTGCCTCAGTTTCTGTTTATTTCATCCTGTTTGGTCTTGCACTGCCTAGCACCCATTTTCTGCTCCTGTCACTCTCTCTCAGCAATCTGCACTCATCTGCTGCAATCACCACTCACCTGCCACACCTGTTCAGCTCACTACTTAAGCTCCACTCTCACTCTCCTCAGTGCCAGATTATTGAAAGCCTCACAGCCAGTAAATTATCCACAGCATTCGCTTGTTCCTAGTTTCTTCATTTTTGACCACAGCTTCCCTCTTGACTCCTCGCTTTGACTTTGCCCCTGTCTGGATACCCCGCTCTCGGCCTATACGGTACAACCTCGCTCTCCTCTTAAACCACGACTACGGATCATCCTTTTGCCTGTTCACACAGCTCCTGGCTCTCGACCCCTGCTACGTCCCTGGATTCTGTTTCCTACCCAGCCCTCCAACGTTCTCTGTTTCAGCCCTGCTCCTGCCACAGAAGGTTAGTGACGCGCACACCACCTCTCTCAGCTCACAGAACCGTTTTGCAGTCACAACCTGTCTGTCTTCATAGATTGGACCAGAACTGAGGCTCGGATTGTCCCCAGACAAACGCCTTTAATAAATAAAACCTTTTATTTTAATATTGTCCTGAGTCAGGTCTTGTGCTGATCCATATGGACTCGTTACAGAATAATCTGGCCAATTTATGGATCCAGCACAGACTCGGAGGTGGCGTTCTGGTAAATTGGAGGTTCAATTTACAGGCACCCGCCTGGCAATAAAGCTGGGCGGTTTCCCTCAGGCTCAGCCTGTCCTGTCTGGTGAGGCGGAGAAGAGAGAAGCCTAGCATTGGGCTCTCTGTCTCATGAACAGGCCCACGTTCCCATTCCCCTTTTGTGATCAGGAGGACGAGTCGGACGAAGACGAGGATTTGTGGTTTCCTCGTTGCCAGGTCCCTTGCCCTCAGAAGAGCCTTAGGCACACAATGCGCCGGTCCTCCCGATGTCCTGCCCCTCCGCCTTCAGAGCCCTTGCCCCAAACGTTTCTAGCTGTCCCACAGAGTCCCAGACCAGCTGCCGTGGTCCCACAGAGTCCCAGGCCAGCTGCCGTGGTCCC